TGTCAACAGCGCCACCTTCACACGATCATAGTCAACTGCATCAGTGTTGGACATCCTGGAATATACTTCCAGTGCTCTACCAGTCAACAGCGCACTCAATTTTGTGGCCCATCCATTTCTATGCCAACTCGCATTCGTTGCAAACCTCTCAAACCGCAATAAATAGCTATCAAGTTCGTCCTTACCATCAACAAATGCAGGCAACTTTGGTGACTGTGCATCACTGACCACATTTCGTTGACCGCCAAAATCAGCCTGTTGGAACCCCGGCATTGCTGCTTGCAGCTCTTATTTCTTCATCTCAAATTCTCTTTCGCCTGCTTCCGCTTCCAGCCGTAACTTTTCCTTTCTTTCCTCAATCTCCATTTTCCTCACCTCTGCTTCCCTTTCCTTTTCTCGCTGTTCTGCTTCCGCTTCCAGTCGTAACTTTTCCTTTCTTTCCTCAATCTCCATTTTCCTCACCTCTGCTTCCCTTTCCTTTTCTCGCTGTTCTGCTTCCATTTTTGCCTTTCTCTCTTCCCTTGCCGCTTGTCTGTCAGCCCGCTGAGAACTCAGTTGCTCCAAAATAAATTTCCTTTTGTCTTCTCCAGTCATTCCCAGTTCATCCGCCCATTCCATCAACTCTTGTTTCGACATATCTTTTATCTCGCTGGCCATGTTGTCTTCTATATGTCTTCACTGTTCCCGGACGAGCCCCCAGATGTCACACGCAACATAATAATACCAGTACCAGTTGAAACCTCATCTGTTGGCTCCGTGTTCGTATTTTATCATCGCCGCCAGGGACGTCTTTTTGTTACTGTTGCCATTTTGGTATTTGAACCATCACACCTGTACTATACCAATTACGGTAATATTACGTTGCGTGTGACACCGTTTCAACTTGTATTTTAAATTTAAAAAAAACAGTCAAACTGAAATCAGCATCAGCTGAAACTGAAACTTACCTTGATCACAGCAAGTTCCCGACCATCCCCCGTTACAGTCACATGACTCTGCCAATGGTACACCATTCCCGTTACAGCCACCAACATTACACGACTGGGAATCAGTCAGAGAAAAGGAGCATGATCCACCACACTGCGCAGCGGTCACGATGTCTCGAGTTCGTGACATTGTGCCCGAAGTACCACAAGGTGCTGAGCATGATGACCATGGTCCCCACTGGCCTACAGTGCAATCTTCGGGGCTGCAAGAACTACGACGTCGCCTCCAACATTCTCCAAGATATATCTCGGAAAAAACAACAGCCAAGACGAATACTATGGATAGCTTATTAGGTCCCATCATTCAATTAAATGAAGTAGTCCGAATGCTATATATGACTTCTGAAACAAATAATTAAACAAAAAAACCAAGTTGTTAATTAGAATATACGGTTGAAAGACCGTAATTAGTTGTCTGAGCTTAATCCTACCTTTCGGTAATCTGCGGACCACAACCTGATGTTACTTCAGGCACGTTACTGAAGTGGAGTTGAAACGCTGCGTGTTTTTATATTCAGAACCTGGCGTTTTTTTAGTACTACGTCAGCCCTACGTCATTTGCGACCTTGCCCCACTGAGAACAATGCTGTTGTATTTCGCCATTGTTCAGTGTTTCACATTAGTGCCTCGAAAATCTGGTTGCCACATCCCTTGAAGGTCACCTACTCAAGTGAACTAGCTACCGTAGTTTGATATCCCTGGTAACTAGGTCATGATGTTTTTCTGTGCCCGGTACCATGGGTGCTGAAGTGTGAAATTGAATATTAATGGTTGTAACTTTCTGTCTTGATTAATTACCTAGTGTCATTTGACTACATTTGACAGGTATTTCCTATTTTGGTGAAACATGTGACCCCAGTACCAATCAAATTGTTTTATGTATACGCAACCCAATGGAATCCCCGAATATTTTTGGTTGTTTTAGCCTCATTTTGGCCTCAGTCATACCCATACAAACTGCTATAAATTAGCACACAAACCAGCACTCTTCGGTCAGTTTCTGCAACTCGCCCACAAGACATCCAGATCAAGCCGACCCCTGAAGAACTAAAGATCTTGCACTCCACAGAGCTTGGACAAAGAATATAGAGATAACTTTGGCTCTATACCAAGAGAATTGTGCATTGTTATTGACCGCTGAACCGAAATTGTATTAAAGCCAAGACTTGTGTGTGTGAGTGGAAGAAGATAATGAGCTCCGGATTATGAAAGATGAAAACTGTTTTCGAGTACGGCGGGACATCAGAGTGAGTCGCTCTGGTGAATTCAAGCGTGCACATTAAAAATCATTCTACGAAAATACTGCAAAAGATGCACAAAGCCAGTCTGATAAATGTGACCTCAGACTGATATGTGACGCATCTTTTCCGAATAAGAAAGACACCGGTAACAGATTCGAATGCATTTGTAACACTGAGTTCCTTCGGACGACTAAATTGTATTGCTCCCGCGGCTAGACGAATTATAATTAATGTTTAACACAGAATACTCACACGTTGGAATTTTCGCCAAGTTAAGTTATGGAGATTGTTAGAATAGAGGTATTTCTAATATATGAGGGCAATTAGCCCTGTTCACGATTCCGGTCTAAATTTATAACCACAGTTTGATCGATACGAGTGACCTCGTTTATATCCATTTATTACTCAGACCAACAGACAAATATTTCATTACAGGCTGGATTCCCGTGCTCGTGCAAGAAAGGGTATGGGTGAATAAAATCATCACACGGGGATCCACGAGTATGATATATGGGGTTCTTTAACATGTACGATGACATGCACAACATACGTGGAAGGCAATTCATGAGCGATAGTTCATGAAAACTGTTCTGACAGGAATAAGAGTATCTGTCAAACCTACTTGTTCGGTATTATGGAGGCCACAAGTCCGGGGAGGTACGTTAATCACACTGGACTATCATTACCAAACGTGCCAACTTCTCAAGCGTGTATATTACATTGAGTGGTTCACAATTCACACACATTTTAGTTGCTGTTCTTTCTAACGATCTACAATTCATTCTTATATCCATCATGATAGACGACTAACGACTAATTGACGTAGCTATACGTTATAGTAGCTAATATTCGGTGGTTCGAAGTAACACCTATAGTCAGCACATTACATATAAACTTGATAGCCTATCTGTGATGACAGACTTTCACACAGTCTCTTGTTTGTTTTGTCGTGTTTGTTTGTTCAATAGAATAAAATATTATGTGTGTGTATAAATGACGAAGACCGAACGAGGCTTTCGCAGCAACCCCGCTCTCGGTTGTTTGCCACTTGCACTCTGTCAGTGGTCGAACAAAAATCATTATTGATTTCAGCTACGTTTCTCAATACAATACTGTACAGCAAACCATGTAACATAGCATATAGAAATTTCTCAGTCAAGAACTAGAACAAGCTAGGTCAATAAAGTTAAACAATATTATCGCACAATATGCAGAGAAAATTTGGAAACACGAGACGTCTCTGATATTGACTCATTTCTTAAGAACTGAAATGGTGATCTAGAAAACTATCAAAATTTCTACTTGTCTTGAAACCGAGCGATATTTACTTTCTGTGTCTGTCTCCACTGTATGTTAATCGCGTTTTCGTTGCTGAATTGTATTAGTTCATATTGAAAGATGTGACCGAATCTTTCCTTTCTGTAACTATTCGGAAAATGAAGATGAATATAATTTATTTGTTCATTTTGGGGGAATCTTAGTAAATAATACATCCCAAGATATTATTTTGTATTGCCGTCGTATGAGGCGCGGAAATTAAACTATTTTTTGAATGCTATTAGTAGCTTCGCGATCAGTGACTTTCGTGGTGGGTAGCTTTGTCGGTGAGTATACTTTGTCGCAGTAACTGGTCCTTTTATCGGAGTTGAAAATTAACGTTTTATGTGTCATTAACAACTGGTCAGTGTTAATCTGCGAATACCATCCTTAGGAGCTGTTAACTTGTCATTATGATTTGTGCAGTTGCTATGACAGCAGTTCCCAATAAGAACCATGCTCTGATATTGCCCCTCGTTTCTTGCTTCGACCAAAGAACATTTTACCATTTATAGAATGGGCCTTTTCATCACGCATTGTCGTTATACTGCTTAGTGACATACTGTAAGAAATTATTTTATTGATGTTGCAAAAGGAGAGTTGAATATTGATTATAGGAATTAATAACCCGTGAATAATTTTACAATATAGATGAGAAATTATAAGTACGAAACAAATGTATAACTCATTCTCAGCAACGGAAAGTTTAAAGTCAGTTGCCCGTGTCAAGAGAGCCGCAGAACTAAAACAATCTGTCGGCTAACGCCTTCAACAAGCAGCGATATGACTTTACACATAGAAATTGAAATTGAGAATGCAAGGGTAGACACATTGCATAGAAAATGAACACCAAATACAGCTATCCCAGGCAGCCATCGAATCATCGCTCTTCGTCTTAGTGATTTAACTGGTATTTCCATCTATTTGCTTAGTGGTTTGAGAGTGAATGGTGTGGAGAATGTCAAGAATGATTAAAAATGGAGACAAAGGTCAACACATGTAAATTACTATTTTCAACTATGGTGTTTTGTGAATAAATCATGGAGATGGCTATGGAATTTACTGCCAAATCAACAACGGTAAGATATCGGGAACGGTAATGACGATGAATATCAAATGAACACGTGAAGCACACAAAACTCTTTCAAATCGCAGTACAGAGAATGGGACTTAACCATTATTTACTTTTCAGGAGAACTGGAATTACTCGCTTTTATGGTGTCATAATAAGCGAGAGTGAAAAACAAGTTTATTTGCATTTAGGTCCATGTGCCACATATCAAAGCGGCCTTCCCTAAGCAAATGATTTAGCCCAAGCATGTTCCGTGTCAAAATCGCGAAACTACCCTTTTTACGCAATCTGGGAAATCCGAATTACGAAACGAAGTACAGGACGACGTAGCTGAAATATCCAAGAACAAACATTTACCAAAAATGATGTATTATTGGTATATTTTAAGTCTAACTGGCCCGGAAGTGAGAAAATGTGTTACTACTCTTACTAATCTAATCTAAACGTAAGACTACATGTGTATTTTTTAAATAGTGTGCGTTTCAATAGATGTATGATTTTTTAAGGACGTGTACATTTTAATAGAGTGTTTCTTATTTATAACTTGAAATGTGGACCAAAAACGAACGGTAAGCTCAGTACATTGTTTTCACTATGGTTGCACAGGCTATAAGAACTTTTAGAACGATTTGCTTGCTTATGTTTAAAACGACACCGCTACACATATTTTACCAATTATCAATCGGTTAATTAACTAGTTTCATACCAAAACTCTACCTACCAATCAGTCTATTGAGCACTACTATCAGAAATTAGACTTAAACATACTTTTTGGTAGTCTGCATAACACCAGTTTTTTTTTTTTTTTTTGTTGAGGTACGTTAATCGTTAATTTTTTTATATTCAGAACTTGATTTTTGTAACCGTCTAGTTGTATTTCGCGATTGTTCATTGTATTTTACAGCTTCCAAAATAGAGACGATTGTTATTGACATCTCATCCGTAAAATGAGTTTTGAATCTATAACGCAAATACCTTGGTAAAGTAGTAAGGTCACTGACATCTACAAGAGGATTAAAAAAGTACATGAACAATAAGTTTGTATTTCGCCATTGTTCACTTATTTTTCAACCTTCAAAATAGGGGCGATTGTCATTGTCTGCTCACTAGAGAATGTTTTTTTCAAAATCGAAGGTTGTGAATCTATAACATAAACACCAATTGAACTGTTCCTGCGAGCCTTGGTTACATGGGGCCATAACTCTATCATAAGAGTAAGGTTTAAAATGGAAAATACTGATAATGAGTTGCGTTTGTCCAGCTTCCTGTAGAATAGCTGAAATTTGCAAACTACGCAATTAGCTTGCTAGAGTTGATCGACTGTCGCCTTTTCGAATATGATTTGGCTGGTTCCCGCCTCAAGTGTCATGGCGTACCAAGCCACAAGAGACCGGTAACTAGTAACGAATTCGGCATTACGATTGGTCCATCACTTTCTCGTTGCTTGTTCTATTCCCCTTGGTTGCCTGACGTCAGCGCCTACGCTCGTGGCCCGAGAGCAGGAGTTTCCTCGAACTCCGCACAGTTCGATGCGCGTTACTTATCATCACTGCACAAAGCAATCTCCTTCCCACATGCTTTACGCAATAGTGCCTGACAACCCCGTTCGTTTTGTTTTCTGGTGAATATTTCAATACTATTTCTAGCTTGAACGGATTCGATTCTCCGCGTCTAACAGTTATAGAACACACAGGTTCTAATAAGTTTATAAAGTTAGTAATTTATTGTATAATCTCATGTCTTGATAACTTTGAAAGGACTGCACTTTTCAAGCGTAAAACATGTATGTTTTAATTTAATTTACCGAACAGTTCTTTCATTTGCATATTCGAATGTGTTCTAACTACAAGACCCCGTCGGTTAACACAGTTACGCTTAA